GAGAAATTGACGTTTTAGTGACGTCATGTTCGCCATTTTCGCCTCAAAAACGGCAAAATTTCAAACGCCGCTAACATCTTCATTTTTAAAGAAATCAAGACGTAACAAAAAAGGTTATACGTGGTTTCACTTTGTCTATCAAATGGCTATCTCGGGTTTTGAAAATTTTGGATTTTGGCCAAAAATTTTCCAAAAAACTGACTTTTTTGGGAAAATATTTATAAAATCCAAAATTTTGAGTTTATCAAAAAAAACGAAATATATGTCAAAGAAGTGGTCTATGTGCACCTACATACCAATTTTTAGAAGAATCGGTTCAAAAATGTGGGAGTTATTCAAAATTTTATGACGTCACGACACACAATTTTTTTTTAAATGATTTTTTTGGAAGTTCTAGACCTCGTACGGAAACAAAAATAGCACCATTCGATTCGCCGTGAAAAACTGCATCGGATAGACACCTTTTTAGGCCTTAACAACCAACTTCAAAATTTGACCTCAGTTGACCTGACCTTGACCTGACCTCGACCTGAAATTCATCCAGAGGTGGTCCATATCACTTATTGAGTGTGCCTATTGAATTCCATGAGTAAAATGACCCATAAAACATGTGTCGCACATGCCCTTTTCTATATTTTGTTTTTGGTGACCTGACCTGACCTGACCTGACCTTGACCTTGACCTTTGAATGACAATGTGTGCAACGAATATTGTCTTTGTAGTCTAAGAACACGTTTTGGGCAATCAGTCTCAGTCCATTCTTCGGCAACTACGGTGGAAGGCCGATACTGTAGAAACTTACATTTTGTACCCTTGACCTGACCTTTACCTGACCTCTGACCTACTTAAGCAAAAAAAATTGGGCTCTTAAGATCCGCCTTGTTGAGAGCTTTCGATTGCCGAATAGCCCAGCGGGGCGCGGGTTAAAGTTATCCTCCGACTCTCAAACTACTTGAAATGCACTTAACCGACGTCATTAATGTGCGTGCGCCTGCATAATGAACAGATTCCCCGAATTTTACATTGCGTTTGACCGTCGCGACGTGACTGGGCTGCTCATTTTCGCCAACGAGCGGCGTTATTCAGTGAAGGAGGCAGCTTACCCCGGGGGACAGGGGCCGCGGGGACGGCCGGCGCCGGCCAGGATTGCAGAGCGGCCGGCCGCCCGGTGTAACTCCTGTCGGCCCCGATTTGTGTCTCCCCGGGGAAGTAACGGCCGCACGTGAATCACCACTGCCGCCGGAGTGGGAAAACGGCCGACTCAGTTGCCGCCGTGTGGCCGGTCCAGGAGCCCGGCGCTAACACGTCCCGGGTCAGCTGCTCAACACAGCTGACACAGCGTCTCTGCTACCGTATCTCGGCCGCAGTAGCTCAGTTGGTCTCGGCTATACTGTCTCTTGACGATCTCCATATGGTGTCCATTGTGTCTCGCTTGTCTTGCGGTAGTGTCCGTTGTGGATCGCTTGTCTCGTGGGCAGCTAAAAAACACTGTCTCGGTTCCAGCGTGTCTGGTCGCCGCTAGTATAGCTAGCTAGTCTCGTAGGCGCTGGCGAGATTGATCACCCTACTGATGGCAAATGTCACCCGTGATCCAGCTTCATTACCGGTTTGCATGCTGTTAGCCTCTTCGCTGTCCCACCGCAGTCCCGTGTTTCTTATTCGTTCCCTGTTTTTCGCTGTGCCATACTCTTACTCCTGTCTGTCACTGTCCTTTCTGCCTTGTCCGTTCCTGACTCTTTTCTCTATGCCGCTGTACGATATCCCCCATCTGTCCCGTCCCCGTCCCCCTGTCCCCTCTCCTCCGCCACTGATGGTGATGGTGTGAAACTGTCCGAAACTGATGCCCCCCCCCCCCCCATTAGTCCCTACTCCCTTGAGCTGTTCGGAGTCACGTTCTGGACGGCAGTGGTCGGAGACTACCCCTCGCCTTCGTGTACTTTATCTGACGCTCGCCCACCCGAACCGGCGAGATATCTCCCATCCTGGCCTTCGGAACCGTCGGGAACAGCCGTACGTTGAAGTTCGGCGCCGTCCCGGTATTTTCGTCCGCTGAGGAAGAAGGAATGTCCCACCGGGAGAGAACGGTTATCCGGCAGGCTATTGTATCGAGGTGTGACTTTGCCTTTATTGGTCATGAAGTAGATTCTGACAGCAATTGGTGTATAAATATATCATATCCCACAAATGGCTTCTGTGCCTTTTGTGCTCGATAGTGTGGCTTACTTGACAGCCTTTGTGAACTGGTCGTTCAGACTCCAGCCAAGTCCACGGCATTTCTCCGCTGTCACTGTTGACGCCGTGCTGCGACGAGGCCCTTCCGAGCCGAACGCGCCTGGCGTGCGACCGGCGCACGTCTGCAGCCGACGCGACGGATGGCACGCGGCTCTGGCCGGCTGCCGCGCGCGGTGCGTGTGACGGCGAGCGCCGTCTGCCTGAGGCCTCTTGCACCATAATATCCAGATAATTAGAATCGACAAGCTATTTTTGTAGTTAGCTAACTTACGGAAGTAAATTTTGTTGCACCAGCCCATTACGTAAATGTGCGGCTGCTCCATAGAATTTCTAGCATAATGTTACGAAAGTGTTTTTGGAGTGGATATCCGGTGCAACAAAATCTAAGTGAATCGAAATTTCCCTTGTTAGGTATTTTGGTGCAAGAGGTCCCTGGGCGTAACGAGCAGCCAGTTCCGGCCGGTAGCACCCCGGGGTGATTGCCCCGACCGGAGCCGCGAGTGCTACCGAGCACGCTCCACTGCACCCGCCGTTCGGTCCACCGCCAGCGGCACCGACCGGTTCGTCATTGTTCGCAGCTGGTCGCTGTAAAGAATCTCGGCTTCAATTATTCGCCGATATTGGGCCGACAGTTGAGGAGCAGAGGTCTTGACGGAGCGCCGCGCTGGGGGTATTGCTCGGCGCCGTCCGCCGGCGGCCCGTGTCGGGCTGGACAGCGGGGGCGGCGGTCGCCGGGTGTGATAGCGGCTCGGGTGTCGAAATGATGTCGACAGGTTAAACAGAACCGCCCACGTCGTAGACGGGTCATTTTTCTTTTGATTAGTATTCGTTCTGCTTTGTTCCAGAAATAACCAGGTGTCAAGCGTCAGACCGCATGCATTTATCATGTGACTGCCTATCATCGTTGCGGATTTTCTGTCACGACGTGGTCTATTTTTGACACAGCGAGCGTGCTGAATTCGCGTTTTATTGATATGTTTTGCGATGGTCCAGAACTTTGTGATAATAATTGATGGCTAGAAGCGGGCCTCAAATTTGCTCTGCGTGCGCCCGCAGCCACAGTAATGGCTAAATAACAGCGCGCGCTGCTGCGTCATTCTCTAAACAGGGCAGGTGCAGGCCCACATTAGTGCAACTGGTTTCGGACCGATCCACGGAGTGGGATGGGAGCTACGAAATAATCCGAGACTACCAGGAAAGTTGGGTTGTAACGCCTAATTGAGTATTTTATGCTTGGCCGAAGATCAATGCACAACAAAATTGCGCGTATAGTCGACTACAGAATGATGTTCCACTCCTCAGAAGCTATCAGTTGACCGGGGCGCTAAGTTGTGCCGTTTATCATGCAATTAAGCGTGTCGATTGTGAGCATTGGGACAAAGCTATAATTTGTGAACTCAGCCCGTGTGATGCGGCACAGCATACCACTCCAGGCAAATGCCATTGCCTGTGATAAGTGGAACATCATTCTGTAGTCGACTACATGTCACATGTATTCTGCAAGAAGCATTGCGCTTCCTTGCGTGGTTCATATGAATTCAACAGGCTGCGTGGTATACTGAGAACCATCAGGATGACTTAATCCTTCCTTGGCGTATACCCATAACGTGGTTTTTGTGGAGGTGCAACACAGAAGGATGCAAAAACTTGATCCCCTTAGCTCAATACCTGCCAGAGCTTGTTATGTTGTTCGGGTCTATTGAGAACTTTTCAACACAAAGTTTTCGGGAGAAGTTAGCTGCAGGCGCGGTCCACTCCTGCCTTGTTGGCATTTTTCTCTGGGGGCCTCGCCGTCCAACTGATTGGGTTGTTTGTCACAGTGCGATTGGTCGCCGGCGCTCGTCATTTGCACTGGATGGCGACGGCAGCTGGGAGGGCAGAGGCCACAAATCAGCCCGATTACGGCTGTGATGACTTATTTACAGCTCTGGGCGCGCCACATGGCTCGCCGCGCTGCCGTTCGGTACATGCTGCGCACGGCCGGAATCGCCAGCTGGTCTCCCAGCCAAGATATTGGACGCGGTTTGAGATTAGTTCATGAAGGTCAAGGGTATAGAGATAGTAAATCAGGTGCTGTGCTGTATCAATGGCTGCCCACCTGGCCCAAGGTAGCATGTGAGCCGTAAGATGGAAGCGTATTGTTGGCCATGCCGCCAGCCGCTGGTAATACCAGTCGCACTCAACTAGCCTTGATTCCTTTTTCTGTTTTGGAGCCATCTGGCGCTTCCTGGCTCGTTGGCCCTCGTTTTCGACTTCCCGTCCCCGGGAGTGTGAGGATCCTCGACATCTAACGCTGGTAAACGTGATCTCACGCCTACTATCGGTATCGACACGTCGTCGACGGGCGTCGGCCATCACGAAAGCTCTACGGCTCTCTTCGGTTTCCCTATCTCGACTTTGTCGCGTCGCTTTGGCCCCAGTCTAATAAGAATGGGTGATTAGGAACATAACGCCTCGCACTGTGCATGTATGACAGACATGTAGAGCAGAGCAGCGGGCCTGTGGGTTCCGCTGCTCTGCTCCGCTGCTCTCTTTTGTCCCTCGTCTTGGTCATTTTTTTTTTAGAATAGGGAGAGCTCCTTTCGAAGGGTACGAGCGCAACGATGTGGCGCTGCGGGATGCATTGCGTATTGCGTAAAATCAATTTGAACAAACTTTTGTCAGGCCTTAGAGGTCGCTTCTCTGCTGTTGGGCAGACTCATATTTTGTCTGCCTTTGGGCGGACAGTACGGTACGGTGCTCTGACCTCCTCTCCCTCTCCCCCGCAGGCTCCGACTCGCCGCCGCCGGCCTCCGTGGTCACCGTGCCTCGCTACGTCCTGCGTGGCGCCGGCCGAGACGCTCACTTCGAGTACGAGATACGGCTGTGCGCCGGCGGCGAGCGGTACACGCTGTACCGTCGCTTCCAGCGGTTCCGCGAACTGCACCGCTACGTGGCGCAGCGGTACGGCGAGCAGGCCACCGCTGCCGTCCGCCTGCCGCCCGCCAAACTGTTCGGAAGGACCTCAGAGACGCTGGCGAACGAGCGACGCGGTCAGCTGGAGGTGAGACAGGGCGCGGTGAGAGGTGGGACAGTCGCCAGGGTGAGTCGGGGCGCGGTGGCCGCCGGGGCGGGCGCACAGTCGCCGGGCCGCGGACCGGCCTGTTGCAGCCGCCGATGTTCGTCGAACTCGACGCGCCTGTGGCCGGCGCTGCGGCTTGCTGTACAAGTTTGTCACTGCCGACAGCGCTCGGCGTCTGCCCGGCACGGCTGGGACGCCTGCCTTCAGGCGGCCCTGGCTCCGGCGATCGGCGGGGATGAGGCGGCCGAACTCCGGCTAGGTGCACATTGTCAGTGTTCCGGGGAACGTGCCGGCAAAAAGTGTGCAAGAATGTGAATTTTAATTAATAAGTAACTGCCTCTCCTTTTTTCAAGCATTATTGAGCTGTCTATGGAACTCCCTCATAAGTTAAAACGAGAGTTTATTCGGAGTCGTTATCTTCCGTTGTAAGTCTTTTGTAGTCACCTGTCTACATTGGTATTCTATGAAGTCTGCTGTCTGTCGTGGTCCCCTGTATAGCATGCTGTCTACGGTGTGTGATATTTGCAGTATGCTGTCTGCAATGTGTGCTGTGTGGACTATGTGTCGTTCTCGTGTGCCGCGGCGCGGTGTCTGGGTGCCGGGATGACCGTGCGAACGGTGTGCCGCTGTGGTCGATGACGCACGAGCCCCCCCGTGACCCCCCCCCTCCCCGATCCGCCGGGAACTATTGATTGGCAGGCGGTCGGACGGTGACCACCTCTCTGCCTCGCGATAGCGCCCGGTCAGAGGTGCGCCAAAGGACGGCTGGATGGTCAGCGAATACATAGAACGGACATAGAGACTGGTCAATGGGATAGCGCCGGGTCAGAGGTGCGCCAAAGGATTGAGTCCGATAATACAGAGATCGTATAAAGACCCAGGGTCCGGTCAATGGGATTGGTCATCAGCGATGGTGGACAAGACGCATGGGGCTGGCAGACATTGTCTGTGGTTACTGGGGCTCAGTAAACCAATGGTTGCTGCCACCGGCAGATGTTGACAAATATACGACTCTGCGATACGACAAACCAACCTTCGTAGTTCGTTCGTTAAACTACTTTGGCACCTGCCATTAGCGAGTTAGAGGTTTCATTGTAAGCTGGTTGATATCATTATTGCACGGGCAATACTCGGGCGGATATTGCTAATTCCCTCACATTACAGTAATTCCATTAAAACTGTGAATGCTAGAAGTTAATTGATTGGATCGCCTATGCCGGCCGGCGGCGGCGTTCCGTTTTGGCTTATGCGCATTTGCTAGACTTCAGTTTGACCTCCATTGATTTATTTACCTGTGTCCTGGCCTGCAAACACCTGCGCAGAAGCCGTGAAAGTGATTTGTCCAAGTGAGATCCGGTTACTGTGCCCTGGGTATTGGTTACTGAAGCTCTTGTTTCTGGTAAATAAAGCTCAGGTGACTGGTTACTCTGATTGGTAACTGGCCGCTGTCTTGGTTACTGGTTGCGGTGGCTTTGGTTACTTCGGCTCTGGACATGTTACTGGTTACTGTAACCAATTACTGGTCGTTGTGTCTTGGTTACTGTTTACTCTGGTTCTGGATATAGGTTTCCGATGCTCTCGTTATTGGTTACCCTGACGGGTTACTGGTCACTGTGACTGATAACTGGTCTTTGGCTTCTGGTCACTGTGTCTTTGGTCACTGGTTGCTGTTGTTCTAGTTGCTGGCGCTTCTCCGGTGATCTGATGCTCTGATCTAGTTGACTATTCTTCAGGTAACCCAGTTCAGTTCGCTCAACCATGCGACACATTCTATAACCTGGCTCGTTCAGTAGAGCTGATATTACTGTGTTCCTTTCATCCATGATTCAATGCTTTAGTTTCTGTTATTGGCTTCGGCCTCTTGTGCTGATATATTGATTTGTTGTTTTTATTTCCTGTTTCTTGATGATCTTACGCTTGATCCGAGTCGTGTGTAAATATAGCTTTCGGTACGTATATCTAGACGACAGCATAGACGTTCTGAAGTTGTTTCCCTCCGTCATATTTCCCAGCTATCCATCCCTGCCCTAGTCCCAAACTTCCTTCGGATGGCCGGTCCCCACATAACTCTCGCTACCACCCCAGTCTCGGACTCCCTCCGGCCAGCCGACCAGCCCATCCGTCATCGCTGCGCGCTGCTGCCCTTATCTACCGGCGCGGCGGCGACCCATGACCTTCCCCGTATTCTGGCGACACTAACTCTCTCTCTCTCTCTCTCTCTCTCTCTCTCTCTCTCTCTCTCTCTCTCTCTCTCTCTCTCTCTCTCTCTCTCTCTCTCTCTCTCTCTCTCTCTCTCTCTCTCTCTCTCTCTCTCTCTCTCTCTCTCTCTCTCTCTCTCTCTCTCTCTCTCTCTCTCTCTCTCTCTCACTCACTCACTCACTCACTCACTCACTCACTCACTCACTCACTCACTCACTCACTCACTCACTCACTCACTCACTCACTCACTCACTCACTCACTCACTCACTCACTCACTCACTCACTCACTCACTCACTCACTCACTCACTCACTCACTCACTCTCACTCTGACTCTGTGAGTGTTGCGAGTTATATGAGAGTTATGTTACGGCTGTGAATGCGGTGTTGAGTGTCTTACCTGTGAGTACTGTGAACGTTTTGTGTGTCCTGTTCCTGTGAGGGGTGTAAGCGCTGAGTTTCCTGTGGGTACTGTGAGCACTGTTGATATTTGTGGAGCGTGGGACTGTGAGTGTTTTGAGTTCCCTGCGTCTCTGAGTGCCCTCTGTGAGTGCTCTGGTCGGCGGCTGTACGTGAGTGCCCCGCCTCTGTGAGTGTTTAGAGCGTGGGCCGTCCGTACCTCGCCGGGGGGCTCTGTTTGCGCGCCGGCCGTAATATGTCTGCTCCGGGCCGCGATGGCACCGACTGTCTGTGTGTCTGTCTGTATGTCCGTGTGCCGTAACGCTCTGAGTGAGCCGACCTAAACCATACACCTTACACAGGCTTTGGCTGCGGCCTGCTCTCCGACAAAAACGCCCACCGCCACCGATGTATTAAATCATGACAACTTGACAAATGGCGTCGGTGAGGCTTTGGCCGCGTCATCTTATCGGCATCATTCTGCGAATAAGTGTAAAAAGTGATCAACATGCTGCTCGATAATGAGCCCGTGCGGCCTCCCACTACTTATATTTCTGGTACATCCGCCCTAGTGGCGACAGTTCTTTTGGGTTGGACTGACGGGCAGATAATGAAGCCTATTTGAGGACATCCATCCGGCTCGCGTCTAACTGTGGTTTTTCGCTTTTCCTCAGGAGTATTTAAGGCGGCTACTGGAGAAGTGCTCCGGCCTGGCCGGCTGCCCGCTGCACCTGGGCGTCACTCGGCGCACGCTGGCCGACTTCGCGCCATTCTTCCAGCGTGGCGTGTTCGAGTTTACGCGCGCCATGACCTCGTGACCTGGAGAGAGGCGGAGGGGCTCCGGCTGGCCCGCCGCTCTCTCGGTATTTATTGGAGGATTCCCCTTGCGGCTGCCCTGGTTTGTGACTGTGGCTCTCTGTGGCTTGTTTTCGGAGCGGAGGGCTCACCCGAGTGACCGTGAAGACCGATGCTGCAGTCTCACCGCAAGACATTGTCTCTGTGGTGTGGTAAAGTGCGGGATTTCGGGCTGCGGTTGTCGCAGCCGGGTGGTTCCCAGATGTGTCGTTTGCGGGAGGTTGTCGTTGTTTGCTGTCCTGATGGCTTGTGAAGGGGTTCTGTTGTGAGTTCAGAGCTCAAGTTCAACCATGCGACTAAAGGGCGTAACTGGGAATGGGGCGAGTTGTACTTGATTGCCGGTGTACGCTCCGAAGTTGTCTTCTCTCCGTGATGTGTGGTGAATCGTAGGCGTGGCGAGAGAAGTTCGGGGCTTCTCTGACCGTCCATCCATCCCAATAGCTTCCAGACTCTTCTTATGGTTATTTCCTTTCCAGGGACCAGCCAGTGCCATTAGCACACCGATTTTATAGATCTTTTACGGGAATTCTACACTAGAATGATAAGGGGCAACATCACATAAATCCACAGCGCTGGCAACATAGCATAAATATGCATTACCTCCGCAGCACTAAAATGAGCGCGTGCGTTTCATTCATAAATAGAGGACACAATTTTTTATAAACCAGTGGCTTCACTCTGAAAAAAAAATCGTTATCAAAGAACGCTTTTTCAATGCTTATAAGAGCCAACCTGGTCTGCATGTGACTTGCATTTAAGTGCAGACCTAAACTAATATATGCTGCTTCATAACTCAAGTTGCAAAAGCTGCGAGGAAGTTTTGATGAAAATCTAAAAGTTTTCCCGCTATTAGTTGTTGCGTCCTAGTTGAAGCCTTCAAAGTCTTGTATCTCGCACAACCTGTTCCTGTTTACGGGCTTAAGTGGTTTATCCGTGTAGCTACTGGCAGTGCCGTATGGCGGCTGCGCGGCCCGCTGTTTCTAGCTGCTGCCGGCGGTATTCTGTCTCCGTCGCTACTGGCAGTACTCTGTCTCTGGCTTCTGCCGGCAGTGCAGTGCCTCTAGCTGCCGGAACGGTCCTCTGTCGCTCTAGCTGGATCCTCTGCCCCTGCAGCTGCTGGGATGGTCCTCTGTCGCTCTAGCTGGGTCCTCTGTCCCTGTGGCTGCTGGAATGGTCCTCTGTCGCCCGAGCTGGGCCCTCTGTCTCTGCAGCCGTCACGGTCCTCTGTCTCCGGGCGGCGGCGCGGTGCCGGCCAGCTGGCTGAGTTTGCTCGCCGGCGCCGCTCGAGTGGCCCTGTCCGGGTATCAGCACGGCCCCGGCCCGGACGATGACGCCAGATTGAGGTCAGCGGCTGAGGGACAACAGCCCAGGGCCGCCGCCGATGGCCGCACCGCGCCAATAGGGTGGCTGGGCCGGTGTGGACAGACTTTTGAACTCTGGTATCCGGTCGCTTCCATATTTTGGCTCCATCTTTGACCTCCCGAAAGTCGCGTGGTTGGCTAAGGCAGGTATTGTATTCACCGCTTAAACAGGCTATGACATCTTCCACAACTTTTCGAGAGGTTAAAAGCAGAGTCAGATCGCTCAATCTGAGGGAATATTTACCCCATTCCTTGTCTCCCGTGCCTTGCCGTCTACCATGTGCCTGTAACTGCGTCACCGCTCTGCGGCCCCGCTGTCTGCGCCAGCCACTCCCGTCTGCAGCGCTGATTGTCCGAGGTATTTATGTAGTCCTCTGGGAGTGACAGATATAGATCAGTCTGGCTCCAGAGGACGGACAGAGACACAGTGCCCGCTGGCTGTCCGGGCCGGAGGGAGGGAGCCGAGACGGGTTAATGATGAAGGGAGTTAGTCTGCTGGGGTTGGCTGGACTACCCCTCCGCTCTGGTCTGGGAGATACGCACAGAGTCGAGAAGATACTGCTCCATTCGCCGGACGATTCAACTGTCTTTCACGATGATGCCTTAAAGGTGGGGCTTTGATGCGGACTCGCGTCATGTCGCCGCTGGTATAGACAAGTAGACGCGAGTTATTGCTCCGAGACAAACAGGGTACTGATCGCGAGATGCATAAAGCCTGGTCACGAGCCCGCAGTACCTCCATGTATTCTACGGTTACGCACATCAAGCGCACAGCACCAGTAAAATGCGTACAGGCTTGGCTTTACATGGTAACATTATGGGTATTTACTGGGTCATTGTGAGGTTCCTGCAGCACAATACGTATACAATGGGGACAGCTGATGCTATTGGAGCTTTGTGTAGTTAGTGCACCGTTCGAGATCTGAAATGTAGACTTGTGTAGAGTGGATGGGCCTGGCTCAGACCTGCAGTGTAAACTGAGTCGGTTGGGTCTTTCTCATCTATTGTGTAGACTGAGTCGAGACGAGACTCTGACTAGAGTCTCTACTGGAGAGCGACTCGCTAGTAGCTCTGAGTGGAAACCGGCCTCGACTCAGTCGAGGTGACGGTCGTTTCCCGAGTTCTCAGCATAGAACTGTCGAGCTGCACTGCAAAGATGACCGAACAACCCTACGCACTGGTTACTCGCTCCATTAGGGAAACCGCGGGACGTATTACTACTCTGAGCATAATATCCTGCTACGTATATAATGTGTGTATTTGCTGGTAGATTAGCTTCGATGTGCATGTTTTAAGTGCTGAAAATAGTGTATATTACAACTGAGGTTGTTGGATTACGTACCCATGCTTTCAGGAGGATTGTGCTTTTTGATTGTTGTTTGACAGTGTGTTGATGGGGTGTTCTTGTGAAGTGAGTTGCTGCTATCACTGTCCCTCAGTCTTCGGTCTCCATGATAGAGATCTGGCTTGTTTGTTGCTATTCGCTATCGGCATTATATATGCGCTGTTGCACTCCTGAACAATATTAGCGTTGCAAATTGTATTTCTGTACTTCATTATCCTCACTGTTCGTAAATTTTCTTCATGCAGTTTTGTTTTGTGCATAACTCTTCAGTAACTGCACGGATGCATATCTTTTAGATTCACAATCGAAACACAGCAGTCCTTCCTTGGAGAGCCATTTTACCGCTGTTTCCTGTTCTGTCATCCAACTCCATGAGCGTTCATTACCTTCTACCACTTTAACCCGCGCCCTGGTGGGGTCTGTTTATAACGCGACCTGGTGGGGGGGGGGCTATTTTTTGCCCCCCCTCGTATCTCCGAAACTACTGGACGGATCCGCAAAATTCAAACGGCGTTCGAAAGGCCTGTCAAATTTGTCGAAGGAAACCAAATTTCATTGACCTCGGGGTCACCGATGACGTCACAGGTCAGGTCAAAGATGAAATGTTTCACCGTTCACGGGTCTTCTAAGGAATGCGCTATAACACCGAGGAAAACGCATTTTGTCGAGAATCAGCGATAGGGCGTCAGTTGCCTAGTAGATATGTTGCTATTAGAGGTCACTGACAATACCAGGTCACGTCACAGGTCAGGTCACCAAGGGTCACAGGTCAGGTCACATGAGCCCAACTTTACTAAGGTTGTGTGATGCATGTTTTATGGCCAATTTTTCATTTCCAACTCAATGGTGTTGGTTATAAGACTATCAGGTACGGCTTAGGTCACTTTCTGGTGAAGTTTAGGTCAAGGTCAGGTCAAGGTCAGGCCAAAAAAGGTCAAATTTTAAAGTTGATAGTTTTGCATAAAATGGGTATTGATTCGATGCAGCTCGTCACGGGAAGTCTAATGGTGGTCTTTGTTTTGCGCTACGGGGTCTAGAATTGCTAAAAATTGAGTTTGAAAATTTGACGTCATCAATTTTGAACAGTTTTTTCACTATAACTTCGCCAAAAAAAGAGGTATCAATCTCAAATTTGGTATGTGGATGGAAGGCGGTAAGGACTATCACATATATTCCGTTTTTTGCGAAATTCAAAAAACTTTTTGGATTTTTCAATCATTATATCAAAAAAAATATTTTTTGATTTTTGGGGGTCAAAATCCAAAAATTTCAAAAATCCGAGATAGCAGTTTTGTAGCCCTGTCAATTCTACAGCTTTTATGTCCTTATCATTTTTCTGTATTTGCAAAGCTATAGGCCTGACAGCTCTTCCCGCGAAACCCTTTTTTGGGTCGAAAACGGCAGAACATGACGTCACTCTGACGTCATTTCCGGCCAACCTATCATAGCCTTTGGAAAAATTTTTGGTCACCATATGTAAAATTGATGTCCGGGAGGGTACTGAAAGTTTGGTTACGATCGGCGCAGCGGTTCTGGAGATATATCGAAAAGTCTGGAGGGGGGGGCAAAAAATAGCCCCCCCCCCACCAGGGCGCGGGTTAAGAGGAGCTAGACATCGAACTTTGGTGTCAACAAGGGCATGCATGTAATTTGACACACTGCTGAGTGCTGACTATATATAGTTGATGCCTGTCGATGTTTACAAACAGCGCTGCTGACTATAAACAGACGAGTACCGTAGTGCCTGAACCTCGGAAGCTTTAAATCCGTCCCGTTTGGTACCGTTCCATTACGACGTCTGTCTTCCACCACCACTTTCCGCTGGAGAAAGTGGCGGTCACGGAATTTCCTTTACTGAGCATTGCGTGGGTCACGTGACCTCTTTCGTGGAGTCGTACGCCTACCATCCTACATTGCTGAAAGAAAAACAACGAATGACTTGTGAAGTCTTTTACGGTTTATGTGTTCGGAGCTGGTGAATTCATCGCCGTTTTTGGCTTGCGCAAATGATGTTTCTTGGCTTTCTCTGTGTGCCGGAGTGTATGTACTGTGTGTTATCTATCGCCTTTGACGCGTGTATAACCCCCGAGTGGCTGGCTCGTGTCGAAATGCGAGGCCGGTTGTGTGGCACAGTGTCCAATGGACAGTACGAGTAAACTCGTGTGTGACAATACAGGGTCTCGGAGTGACGTACGAGTTGTGTTTGGTGGAAAATGGAGAATTGTTGAAACACAGAGCGAGGCTAGCTCAGACTACCATTTTCGTCGTATGAATGGTCATGTTGTATGCCATATTTTGCGAGTTTCGCTTTACTTTATCGATATGAGATTACTCCAGTAGCGCTTTAACGCCGTTTATGGGTGTCTTTTCTGATGAATGCACTTCAAAAGCTCATTGAAGCCCGCTCATAACTATACGCACACCGCCGTCCACCTCTGACCGCTATGAATTTTAGATACATGGCAGCGGTGTTCCTACCTGAAATAACTAACGAAAGCGCCTATTACTAACACTGAGAGCTGTTGCACAATCAGACAACCCACTTTGTGATGTTAAAACGCTCGCTGCGATATCCTCCAGCAATGCGGTCAGGGTTTCATCGGTGTGCCACCTGCGGTATTCGATCGTTTGATCACGATTTTTAACCCAGTCTCGGACCCACTTCTGACACACCTTACATAAGCCGAGTGTCGGCGACTTTTCAAGAGCCGTCGCCGCCTGGGGATCGATTTAGTTGGTCCGTGTGAGTGGGATAGAACGTGAGTAGCACGTCCTGCTTCTCCCCATGTTGGAGCGCTGGGTGGACAGTCTCGGCGGGCTGAACCCGCTGACCTTTGTCCACCGTGAGAGGCACCGCATTACTCAAATCCTGCAGAAGCCGGCCGGGCCACGCCGCCAGCATTTTAACCAAATTGCTGAAATAGCGTGGCGGCTTAAACTAATGGTGTTTTGGAGATTGTGTGAAACGCGGCATGCATGCTTTATTTTTGTATAATATTCAAGAAAGCTCGGCATTTTAACGTCGCCTTTCAACAAGCATGAATATTGAATAATAAGGGGCTGAAAAATATTAGTGCAATCGATCAATACGCTGGGAGAATATTCCGAGCCAACTTTGAACGAAGCGGGCTGGGCTGGTGGGGGGGGGGGGTAGATACGCAATGCATGCCCCTTCCTCCACTAGATATAAATGCATTTGACGAGCGACACCTACGGGGTCGTGCGGCAAAAACTTTCTCTGTCCGCGGGCGCCACTGCAGCGACACCTGCCGTGTGGCTCCAACACTATTGGCTCAGTCTGTGCGCCCACGCCGTGCCGCGAGCACCGATCCTACACATTGTTCAGCGTTCTTGTCTTTCCGATTGTAGTTGGACCACATCTGGTGAGTTCTCCCCACGTGGTGGGTGCATTACGCCGAGATGGCCTGGCTGGGCCGTGGTGTCGTATGTTTATGTTCGCCCAGTGGGCTCGCGGCACTGGCAGCCGGCTCTCAGTTAGGAACTGCCAGACCAAAGTACCAGTCGCTGGCTGTTTTATTTTTTTTCTATCATTGCCTCTAGGGCCCTTGCCGCAGGTTCCTGCACCACCGACAACTGTGGTGTCCCCTACGGCCGCAGGGGCGCGCCGCGGCCCGCGATCGCGTCGTCGGCCATAGCGCGTTTGCGCCGGCGACCGTATACGCAGTTACGCTCGTGCCGCAATTCAGGGAGTTACGTCTTATGCTGCCACCAGACTGCTAGCCTCGTATCTTGTTGTATTCATCGCCCTGTCCACGCGCATGACCTAATGTCTCTGTGCACCCAAGGCCAAGCCACCCTGACGCCATCTTGGCGGGTCCGAGCAGCAATCGTGTGACCTCTGCCCAGCGATCGCGTGATCGTGACGTCAGCGGTAGGTGTGGACACCTCCAGCGCTGGTGGCGCCGCGGCGGCAGCGACAGCAACTGCTGGTAGCCACGTGGCCGCCAGCGGCGCAGGCGCGGGCGTGTCATTACGTAACCGTCATCCGCGCCGTGAGGCGGCCCGGGTGATTCACCCGCCGTGACGTCAGCTGACCGTGACCGTGGCCTAGCGGCCTTTGGCCCGGCGACCGGACCGCAGGTCCGCAGCTGATTGGGGGTCGTCTTGCACCGGGTCTGCAGCGGGCCATCTGGGCTGGAGTCAGGTCACTGCTGGCTGTATGCCACTCTGTGGGAAGCAGCGTTAGTCGGTCACAATTTGGCCAGACGTGTACGCAATCGTGTATGCCTGAGAGGCAGCGTTAGTCGGTCACAGATTGGCCTGACGTGTACGCAACCGTATATGCCTGGGAGGCAGCGTTAGTCGGTCACAGATTGGCCTGACGTGTACGCAACGGTGTATGGGCTGGAGTCAGCTCACTGCTGGCCGTATGCCACTCTGTGGGACGCAGCGTTAGTCGGTCACAATTTGGCCAGACGTGGATGGGGTGTTGGGCGTAATCTGCACCCAAAGTGCATGACGGGTGTACAAACGTACGAATACACAGACCCATATTCATCAGTCATGCATTTGCAAGCGCAGCGGAACGGAGAAATGCATTTGACGAGCGACACCTACGGGGTCGTGCGGCAAAAACTTTCTCTGTCCGCGGGCGCCACTGCAGCGACACCTGCCGTGTGGCTCCAACACTATTGGCTCAGTCTGTGCGCCCACGCCGTGCCGCGAGCACCGATCCTACACATTGTTCAGCGTTCTTGTCTTTCCGATTGTCCACCGCCACCCCGCCGCCGCCTGTGGTACTGTGTTTCCATGCATTGCTGGCTGTGTAAGCGTAATCTGCACCCAAAGTGCATGACGGGTGTACAAACGTACGAATACACAGACCCATATTCATCAGTCATGCATTTGCAAGCGCAGCGGAACGGAGAAATAAAATTAGAGTTCTAACCAAGCGACGATGATTTTTTAACGTCAGCTGGAAGCTTGCAAAAAGGCAAAGACGTGTAGGAAGTACCTATGTAGTTATGTCAGACGTTTCGCTCAGTTAGTGAAACAGGCCTCAGATGTTAAAGGGACTATCCCACCTTTAACATGGGGTTTGAGTTGAGATAGCCAACTAAGCCAAGTTTGCGGCGAGGTTCAGAAACCACTATCTATCTAGGTTGCAACCCCCGCGGCCTCTTGGTGTTGAAGAAATTCGTTCCCTTCATTTGAAAATGGGCCTTGCACAAGGCCCTATCTTCAACATGGAGCGACCTTTAGTGTGAAGTCACCTCGTTTAGTCATTCTGATTTAAATGGGTTTGTTCGTTGAAAAATCGCTTAAAACTTGGTCTGAACTTTGTTGTGGTGCCTACAGAGTAAAAAGAATCAGCTTTATGACAGTAATGTGGCCTGGGGAAGGAGGTAATTTTGGGCTGTGACGTCACATATTTGAAAGTTTGTGTTTGGAATATGGGAAGCCTATAGTTTAATGAAAAATAAATGCCAGAACCGTGTTCCTGGTCATCCAATCTATAAAGTCGGGCACAATTTAACTGGTTTTAACAACATTTTAGAAGGTGGGATAGTCCCTTTAACAAACATCAAATCTGCGTTTTCTTGACTGAAGCCTATTATATCCGACAGACGACGCTATAGCTCGCTGAGTCATGTTCTTGCTTATTTCGGAGATACGTAAAGTAATGACTTCACCGATTCACAGTCGATGGTTCCCTTTTGTCTACGGACGATGGTTACTTTTTGCCTTTTAACTGCTCTGAAATGAGCAGCGAGTTTTAACTCACGAGCCGCTGGGGGGGGGGGCATAAAGTTGCCCCCCTTTACGTTTTGTGAAATATCTCCGAAACCTGATGAGCTACGAGCGTGAAACTTGGCATAGCTTCAAATGAATACCTAGGCAATGCTTGAGGAAAGTTTGGTGGTTGTAGTACCTAAGATGACGTCACAGTGACGTCATAAAGTTTTGTCGTTTTCCGATATGGACCGTTTCTGATGACGCTGAGCATGAAACTCAACTGTAAATGAACTAGACAGTACCTGCTGTCATCCTAAAACATCTAACTACACTTCCATCTAGTTTCTGACCAATAATCGACCCTTTATATTCGGTCCCATATATCTGATGTATCGTGAGGAATATGAGAGTCGCAATTCTATAATTTCACTTATGACGTCACTGTGACGTCATTTCAAATGGGATCGACACCAAATTTGGACACAACCACGGCTAGGTATTCAGGAAGATGTGTGCAAAGTTTCGCTTCTCTATTTCTTCGCGTTGCGACGATATCGTCGCAGAAGTAAAGGGGGGCAACTATATGCCCCCCCCCCCAGCAGCCGGCGGGTGGCGCGGAGGCCCAGCGGCCGCCGGGTTAAGCAAAGCCTCTCAAAAAGCCTTCTAAATCACCTGCGTGACAATATCGAGAATTAGGTAGTATGTTTTAAAAGGATGCTTGCAAGGTAGTTCACTTAGCCGGCCGCCAGTTCCCTGCCGGCGAGCCGCGAGGCCCAGCGTGCGAGGGTATGACGTCACCATAGGACGGTCGGATGACGTCACTGGCCACCGTGCAGCCGTCAATCAGAGGTGTATTCAGGCGAGCCCCGTACACGGGCTGATTACATTTCTGGCCGGCATTCAGGCTGGCGGGCTGTAGTGATACACCCGGACGAGAGGGAGCCTGACGCGAACAAGCGGCTCATCACGGCGTGCCGCGCAAATTCGCCTGCATGGCTTATTACTGCCATGCTCCTGAGAGATACGAGGTGTGGCTAAAAAGAAACCGGACTGCTCGTGCTGACCATAAAGTAGGGAGCCCGAAAACTAGCGAGACACTGGACATTAATCTCTATCATACTGTCGTGATGTGTGCCATACGGCACCTCGATATCGCTATTATTCTCCTTTCCACAGCTCTTTGTTTTATTGATGACGCTGACGCTGGTCACTCCGGTCTGGATGTCCTCGACTGATTCAAAATGGGTTTCCTTGACGACGTTTTTCATTTCAGGAAACAGCCAAAAGTCACAGGGAGGGGGTTTGGCAAATAGGAGGGTGCTTGAGCACCGCGACCTGCTTTTCGGCAACGAACTGCTGGACGCTAATGGCAGAATGCGCGGGAGCGTTGTCGTGACGGAGCACCCAGTTCTTGGCTTCCCAGAAACTCCACTTGGTGCGCCTGACTCGTGAAATGAGGCGTCCCGGGTCTTCCTTGTAGAAGTGGCTGGTCGACT